AAATTTCACACCCATTGGATTTCTTCACTTAAACTGGGATAGAGGAAAATAAGGCCCCGTGTGTTCATAAATATTTTTTCCTTTTTTGTTTTTTTTTTCACGAACATGTGTTTTCTTGAAATTTTGCAAGTTTTTAAATTTTTTTCTGAAAATTAGTTTTTCAAAAATAAAAAAAAAAATTTTGGCCACCTTTTCAAAATTTTCAGAATTTTTTTTCATAACTCAGAAAACTGCAATATTTTTTTCAAGTAAAATACATGTCCAAATGTAATTTTAAATTTTAAATATTATTTTTTTCAACTGAACTCCAAATATTATATTTTTTCAAAATTACAATTTTTATGTCCAAATATGTACTTAATCAATAATTTTTCTTTCTTCTTAAATTTCAGTAGATGTCATCATGTAAAATGAAACAACAAAATAATGTACAAGTAAAATTAGAACTCAAATCTTTAATAAATAGCCATATAAAAAGCTCTCATCTTTGCGGCTGAGAATTGTCTGAAAATTCACACAGTCCTAAACTTTTTCTCTCTACCTTATATACTTCTCTCAAAGTTCTATGCTGTCATCAATGGCCTTATTCTCAGCTCCTCCACCCCATTTCCCAACTCTCTCTCCTCCAAAACCCCACTTAACTCACAAACTATATACACCTTTAACTTTCAAGAAACCCCATTTCTCCTTTAGAGCTGTTGATGATGTTTCTTCTGGTATTACATCTACTTCAGCTGTGATTATTGAGCAAGAAAAAACTGAGGAGTCTAATGGGGTGGCTTTGAACTCAAATGGGTCGCCACCGGCGGTTTCCGGCGGAGCTCCGGTGGCGGAGGTGGGGGTGAGGAAGTTTCAGGATAGTAGGTGGGTTGGTAGGACATGGGATTTGAAGCAATTTGAGAAAGATGGGAAGATTCATTGGGATTCTGTTATTGATGCAGGTGACAGTCTTTATCTCCAATTTGTTTTCTTTTTCTTGAAGTTGATTTAATTATATGATTAATTAGGAGTAATTTAAGTTCTAAATTTGTTTTTGGCCAATTTCAAGCTATGTTCTTTGTGCTACTTCTATTTGCTGGACTTTAACTTAGTAGCTGGAAAGCATAAGCGCATGTACTTTTTTCAAGTTGAGTGATTGCAAAGTATAACTAAATGTATCTTCCTGTACTTTGTGACAAAGTGTGCGGCATTAACATAAATATAGTATTACAGTATATTTTTCTCAACCTGTACAGCCGCTCCTTCCCTTTCGTTTTATATAAGAGACATTTAACTAGGTTCAGAATATATTTTTTGTTAAAAAGAAAGACTTTTGGCACACACCAAAAGAACACTAAAAACCATGTCATTTATATGGCTAAGCATATCATTAAGAGTAAAATGGAAAGCCCTTTTTTTTTTTTTGATATGTGGTATCTGACTTAGCTTGTGCACACCTCGACTATTCCAATAGGTACATAAATATAGAAATGTGTCATTCTTTCTAGAATGGACAGAAAAAAGAATGCCATGTAAAATGAAATGGAGGGTGTCTATGTATTGTTTTTTTTTTTTTCAGAATAAAGGAAAAAAGCATTTGTTGTTGCTACTGTGTTAAAACACAAAATCAGAAAAACTGTTAGAAGAATAAAAGAAATTGGAAAAACAGTAAAGATTAAGAAATATTCCGAGTCCACAATTTGCTTGTGCGTCCTTAAGGAATTTTAACCCCCTCACACGTTGCCAAGGTAATGGATTAAATCCTTCCAGGATAAAACGGAATAAACCTTCCTGCAACAGTGGCAATACAAACTGCAGGATACCAACGAACTTAAAGAACGGAGCAAAATCACACTTACGAATTTGAGAGAGAGAGACTGCGAATTAGAATGCAGTATTTTCAGAAAGAAGGAAGTTCTGTAATGTTTTTGGTGTGTAAAAAACGAAGCCATGCCTCAGAATTTATAGGCAATTATTGGAAGAGGTGTGATGTTTGTTCTGGAAAAGGTGCCTTTTCAGAAGTTTACGCGGCCTGCCGCGGTCCTACCGCGGTTACGCCAGGACCGCGGCCAGAGTGGCCCTCTGAATCTGCAGCAGGGTTCTGGCGCGGTCCTACTGCGGTTACGCCAGGACCGTGGCCAGACTATCCTTCTGAATCTTCAGCAGTGATCTGGCATTTAATTAATTATTAAATAATTAATTAAATAAATTTTGTCCAAAAATAATCTTATGGATCGATCATTTTTCCAAATCCAAATCCAAAGCCAAAGCCAAAGCCAAAGCCAAAGCCAAAGCCAAAGCCGAGCCGAGCGAGCGACGACGACGGCGCGAGGGATCATTCTCTTCAACTCCTTTTAAGAGCTTTAAGAAGTGATTCTATATATAAGCACACAAATGTAGTTGTCCCTCACCAATGAGGGACAAAGTGCCAGTCAAAAGCTCACTTCATTCAAATTTTCATTTCCCTCCATTTTATTTCCCACTATTTCCAATTCACACTCTTATACTTTAAAGCCCAATACTTAAAGTCTTTGAAGCTCAATGCCTTTAAAGTCCAACAATCCCCCACATGAATGGGAATGGCTGTAACAAGAATGATCATAGATGAAAGCTGTGTGATTTGCAAGTAAAGATTAATCGCATCTGGATAAGTAGGTTTCCCTTTGAACTTTCCGTAGTGAACATATGTCGGATATACTCGGTCAATCGGTAGATTTGATATCTTTGAACCGTCGAACTTTAGTGTATACCTAGACAACCATATGTCACACAACCAACCCTTAACCGTCTTTTGGTTCTCATTATTGTGTTCGTTTCAGCCATGAACACCGCCTGGTTTCATAAGTGCGTAGAGAATTGGCCTTACAGAATTCTCATTGAAGCGGCTTCCACTTCACACTTACATAGGTGATTCCTAAACGTGTAATCCTTTAGATTGACACTATTTGATAAATACCACATCAAACTTAGGTAATCATTAAAGAACGTGTAAAGTTCTATCCTTGTTACTGAACATTGTCTTCATCACGAGAAGGGACCAAAGATTTTACTTTGACAATGTTGAACCGGTCAATCACAACTTTGTTTGAGCTCCTTGAACCTAGATCTCGGAACATCCAAAATTCTACGTAGAGTTACCGCCATGTTGACTTGTCCTCGGCCATAGTCCCATTCCCTTAGATGATTTCTCAACTCCCTCTCTAGTTAAGCCTTTTGTAAGCGGATCCGCCACATTATCCTTTGATCTTACATAATCAATAGTGATAATTCCACTAGAAAGTAGTTGTCTAACGGTGTTATGTCTTCGTCGTATATGACGAGACTTTCCGTTATACATAACGCTCCCTGCCCGTCCTATTGCAGCCTCACTATCGCAATGTATGCAATAGGAGCCAAAGGTTTTGTCCAGAACGGAATGTCTTCTAAGAAATTTCGAAGTTATTCAGTTTCTTCACCGGCTTTATCCAAAGCTATAAACTCTGATTCCATTGTAGAGCGAGAGATGCACGTTTGTTTGGAATACTTCCAAGATACTGCTCCTCCACCAACAGTAAAAACATATCCACTTGTGGACTTTGTTTCT